ATAGAACAAGTTCCTCCTTAACCCTTCTTCCTCCCTTCCTCCATCTTGATGTCTGGGAGATATATGTGATGACTGGTCCTCTAGCATTATCTGAGACAACGACTACAAGGGCCACACTTTAGAAATGATGTAGTGAGGAAACTGTAACCCCTATAACTGTGGAGCTGCTGTACTATCCCTGGACCGCCAATCTGTCAACTTTCATTTAGGTACTAGGGAGAAACTTCTTTCTTGTTTACATCATGGTTATTTTGGGTTTTCTATCACATACAGCTGAATTTGTTCCTAACTGCAGTAGCCTGCCTAGATTATTGGGGAAGTGGGGGGGATCCCTGAGTGCCAGGTCAAGGAGTCTGGACTTTATCCTGTGGGTCAGTGGGGAGTAGCAGAGTGACATGACAAAAGCTGTGACTTATTGATGTTCATTTGGCCACCGGGTATGACATCCACTAGAAGAAAGTGCGAGGCTGCCGACCAGCTAGATGACTTTTACTGTAGCACAATTGCTGGGCTGGTGAGGGAGTAGAGGGTATGTCTAACCTGATTTCTCAACTGGCCACTCTGAGATATCAGGCCGACCTCCAGAAGTTCTGTTTCCATAAAGACTCCATAGCTTTCTAGAAGGCCAGCAAGACTTTGGGACTGACAGGTCCTGGCACACTCCTCCTGGGATAAGAGAAGGCAGTGGGCAGTGGTTAAGAGCGGAGTTTTGGAGTCAGATCCATCTTGGTTCAAATTCTGGCCTCCTCTTTTGGTAGCTGAATGGTTTAAGGCAGTTATTTAATCTTTCCTGGCTTCAGTTTTCTCATCTATAAAACAAGGATGAAAATACCTGTTTCACAGGATCGAGAGCTAAGCCATGTGAGAAGCTTAGCGTGGTGTCTGGCCATGCCTGATTCACAGCTGAAATGGCCACACTTGTGTGTTTTATTTGTGTCTCAGTTATCCTGACATTTTTATCACAAGGATCTATTTTAATTTGATAACTACAGACAATGAATACATTTTGGCTTGAAACTTTTGGATAGGCCACCAACCTGTTCTATATTCTTGTTTTTAATGATCGAATCATAGAAAAAACTTCTTCTCCAGTCCGATTCAGGGATGGCCTTGTGTGGTACTTGACAGAGTTAAATTGTGTCTGGTTTTTAGTTCTTGTACTTTTAGACAATGCAACACGACAGTGATGGGGAGGATGCAGGGCCCACTCTCCCACCCCTGAACACTTACATAAACTCTCCCGGCTTGACTTTCTTTCTTTTTTTTTTTTTTTGCGGTACGCGGGCCTCTCACTGCTGTGGCCTTTCCCGCACAGGCTCCGGACGCGCAGGCTCAGCAGCCACGGCTCAGGGGCCCAGCCGCTCCGTGGCATGTGGGATCCTCCCGGACCGGGGCACGAACCCGTGTCCCCTGCATCGGCAGGCGGACTCTCAACCACTGCGCCACCAGGAAAGCCCCCCGGCTTGACTTTCTTACTTCTCTCTCCCCTCCTGCTTCCCTGATAAAAGGAAGGGACTGCCTCAACTTCCTGCTCCCAAATCTCAAGTCTCCTGCTCGCAGATCCCCTCATCTGCCATTCCCCTTAATCCGAGTGGAGTGGTGTCCCTCCCACCATCAGGGCCAGGCCCCTCCACCTGGGCTCTGCACCCCCTTTCGTCCTGCATTCTCAGTGCCCTTGCACTTAACCATCGTCCTGGATCACTCTTTGCTTTCAACCTCTCCTTCTCCTGGTTTCTTCCGATTGACCTTGGAACGCATTCATAATTCATTACACACAAAAAAGTGAAGAACCTTCTTCCCCCTTTATTATTAGAAAGTAGGCTTGGGGCTTCCCTGGTGGTGCGGTGGCTAAGAATCCGCCTGCCGATGCAGGGGACATGGGTTCAAACCCTGGTCTGGGAAGATCCCACATGCCGCGGAGTGGCTGGACCCGTGAGCCATGGCCGCTGAGCCTGCGCAGAGGGTCTATTACTATAGAAGAAGGAGGTTACTGGGTTGGTATAAAGGTGATCATTTAATTAATTTATTTATTTTAAAATATTTATTTATTTATTTTGGCTGCACCCTGTCTTAGTTGTGGCATGCGGGATCTTTTTTTTTTTTTTTTTTTTAGTTGCAGCATGTGGGCTCTTAGTTTCATGCGGGATCTAGTTCCCTGACCAGGGATGGAACCCAGACTCCCTGCATTGGGAGTACGGAGTCTTACCCTCTGGACCACCAGGGAAGTCCCCAAAAGTGATCATTTTAATATTATATATGAAAATATTTTGTCCAACTTAAAAGTTCACATTTTTCCTCCTAATTTAAAAAAGAAGTTACATTTCTCCTCTGGTTCAAGGTGCTTCAGGAGCCGTCGGCTTCCTTGCAGACATGGCTGAGGCCAAGAACCACACCATGTACAACCCTTCCCCATATGGCACAGAAATGGCATCAAGAAACCCTGATCAAAAAGATCTGAATCGCTTAAGGGGATAGACCCAAGTTCCTCAGAAACATGCACTTTGCCAAGAAGCACAGCAAGAAGGATCAAAAGAAGATGCAGGTCAACACCACCAAGGCCACGGGCGTGGTGCCCAGGCTGTCAAGACCCTCGTAAAGCCCAAGGGCAGAATGGGAATCCAGATCTCCACCAGGGCCATAGATGTCACAGGCAAGATGGAGGCCTGGCAGAGATGTCCTCAAAATAATTAGCTGGACTCACCCAGGGGTGGAAAGGAGAGTGTTCTATGCAATGTCCAGGCATTGAAGCTGTTCCGTCTCAAGGCAGCTGTAACCCCCTGTCAATGAGTGAGGAATGGGGAAGAACCCTAAAATAGTCTGCATCCTCTCCTCTCTTCTGCTTTAATATTAAGCCTCTGTAACCTTGAGTAGGTTCATCCTTTAAAAAAAATTTAACCAGTTAGGGTAGGTTAGGTTATGCTGTGGTAACAAATGATGTCCAGATCTCAGTGCTCAGAACAACAAAGATTTATTTTATATTCATTCCACCTGCCTCTCTTGAGGTGGCTGGGGCCTCTCTTCCACGGGCCTCATTCAGGGACCACAGCTGATAGAGTAGCCACCATGTGGAATGGTGACAGCAGCAGTGACAGGAAGAAGGAAAATGTGACAAGTTATGGATTGGCTCATAGGGTCAAAGTGACATGGGTCACCTTCACCCACTTTTCTTTGGCTCCCCAAACTCAGAGAGGCCTCATTGAGAGGGTAAGGAAGTGCAATTCCACCACATTTCCAGAAGGGGGAGAATGAGAACATGGGTGTCAGCCTTAGTGATCATCACAATACTTTTAACCTTTTTTTTTTTTTCATTGAATTCACAGAAAACCTGTAATGGTAACTAATAGCTTCATTTCAGGGTTGAGGAAATAGCCTGGGTCGCTGCCATCCTTAAGGACAGGAAATGCATCCACCTGCCAAGTCGCTGGTGACATCTTGTGGCAGCCAAGAAGCAGCCACCTACTAGCTGGGGAGGAGAAGGTGTCCCAGCCTCCAGGTGAGACTCACCAGAACAGGCCTCTCCTGCTGGGCTGAGACACACGGGGTTGAGGGACTGGGGTTATAGTAGGTTATAATAGGGCCAAGGACTCCTGGGGATCGAAGAGAGGGCTTCTCCTGATAGATTCTCTGGGGCTCTGGGTCTTTGAAGAGTGAAAGGAATGTGACCTTGCACTTTGCCCTCACAGCCAGTGAAGCAGGGCATCCCCTGATGTATGGCTCTCTCCATGGAAACTTTGTGGACATGGTTGGGGAGTGTAGATAATCACATTGCATCATGTCCGTAATATAAGCTAGGTGAAAAAGCAGGATACAAAAGTACAACTAGACTACAGTTTAAATGTGTGTGTGTGTGTGTGTGTGTGTGTGTGTGTGTGTGTGTAGCACGTATGAATCTCAGCCTGCAAACTATATGAGCAAGAAATATTTAAGTCCTTTATTTCCTTTTACTCAATTTAATTCTGCCTCCTAACCCTCACTTGTCCTGATGTGAATTTGCCTTCAGTGATTCTCAGGTGTCCCCATCACCACAGCTGTGCTGGGATCCGTGGTCCACAGCAGCAAAACACCAGTATGCTTCTGTGATTTTTGACCATATATACGCACAGATCCCACTGCAGCCCTCCCCCTCCCTGTCCACTCGGTCCCTGTGGGCTTTAGTGCCTGGCCTGGGTGCAGGAATCTTGGAAATCCTGGAGACTGGCTTCCTCAGACCCACCCTCTGAAGTATCACCTCTGAGGTCTTGCCACCTCCCTCCTCAAATACCTGCCTTTCCTTTTTCCCTTCATCCCTAACTCCCTGCTGCCTCAAGACCTCTCTCCAGCCTGCCCCCTTCAGACGCATAATCTCTTCAATGGGTTTAAGTTTTTCAAAAGGAAGAAGTATACTAGCCCTGCTACAATACTTGAATAAAGGGATTACCAGCAACATGGGAATTAGATGATTTGAAAATTCTCCTGTTACAAACTCCTAGAAATGCTGAGCTTTCAAGAAAAAAAAAAGAAAGGAAGAAAGAAAGAAACCTTCAGGTGCCAAGACTTCATCTTGCTTTGGGATGAAAGAAGCATTGGTGAGTAAAGAAACAGGTAAACCAGGGGGTAAATCTAAAAACAATAATAATAATTTATAAACTAATTTAGGATATGTAAAAATGAGATAGGACTAAAACACTAGACAACAGTAATTATAAAATGGGGGCGTAATGATCTGATTTAATGTTTTAATATCATTGAATTGTTAAGGAGGAGGATAAAGACATTGATTCACTTTATACTTTGTTGCATCAAATAAGCATGTTTGAAATTTAGGGTATCCAGTAGAATAATAAAAATTGAGTGCATATCTTCCATGCAGGAAGGAGGTTAAACAAAGCCTGGATTTCCAGCTGAAAGGGAAATGGAGGAAAAATACAGAGACTAATATATGAGTTAAGAGTCAGAAAAAAAATCTGCCATATACACACATACAAGTATACGTGTGACATACAGGAATTACCTCTCAGTGCTGCAGTGATCATTTATGGAGAGTGAGGTTCAGGTGAGTTTTATCTTCTTTTTCATATTTGTGATGAGCAGCCTCCAAAATGACCCCCAGTGGCCCCCACCACTGGGTACTCACACCTGTGCAGTCCTTTCCCACAATGCAACAGGGTTACTCTGTGGTCAACAGAATGCAGCAGGATTGATGGTACAGCACATCATGTTGAGGTTATGAAAGGCTGCAGCTTCCATCTAGGCCCTCTCTCTTGCTCTCTCATCATTTGCTCTTGGGGGCAATGTTGTCATGAGCAGCCCTATCGAGAGGCCCACCTGTGGCCTCCTGGCAACAGCCATGTTGAAGAAGAGTATATTTATTCTTTGTCAGAATCTTTCCCCTTTTAGGTTATTACAAGATATTGAGTATAGTTCCCTGTACTATACAGTAAGTCCTTGTTGGTTATCTATTTTATATATAGTGGTTATGTATATTTTAATACCAAAGTCCTAATTTATGCCTCCCCCCCTTTCTCCTTTGGTAACCATAAGTTTGTTTTCTCTGTCTGTGAATCTATTTCTGTTTTATAAATAAGTTCATTTGTGCCATTTTTTTAGGTTCCACATATAAGCGATAGCATACGATCTTTGTCTTTGTCTGACTTACTTCACTTAGTATGATAATCTCTAGGTCCATCCATGTTGCTGCACATGGCATTATTTCACTTTTTTTTGATTGAATAGTATTCCATTGTATATATATACCACATCTTCAAGGTTGGAGTCTATTAATCTCCCATGGCTCTAAAAATCTGTTAATCAACAATCCCGCTTTAACCTGCCATGGAATTTTGGCTCTTCTATAACAAGCTAGCCTAAGCCCCCCCTCATGAGGGACCCTGCTCTGTCCAGTATGGGATACACTAGCCACAGAGGGGCTATTTACTTTTAAAGTAGTTGAAATTAATGAAAATTTTAGTTTCTCACTTGCAGTAGCCATATTTCAAGTGCTCGATGGCCACAGGTGGCTAGTGGCCAATGTGTTGGACAGCGTGGGGTTAGACCCTTCCGTGTTCTACCGGACAGCACTGCTCTGGGTCTTGCCTCTTAGTGTGGTCCATGATCCAGCATCAGCATCACTTGGGAGCCCTTAGAAATGCAGGATCTTGGGTGCCTACCCAGATCTGCTGAATCAGGATCTGCATTGTAACAAGATCCCCAGGTGCTGCCTGCATTTGTGGGTTTGAGAAGCAGGGCTATAAAGAGCATTCCCCACTGGAACTTGGAAGAGCATGAAAGGACAGATTGGTACTTAGTTGTGTCACCTCTCTATAGACTTTTGGGGACCCATAGCCTGGCTCACTTTTAGCAGCTGTGTGACCTTATCTACCGCGTAGGAAACTCTGAGGCAATGATTACCGTGCTTAACACACAGTAAATGCTCTTTAAATGAGCGTTTTGTTATGTTTGGATTTGATGAGGTTTAAGGTCTCTGCAGACTCCAAGCCCAAAGCAGACCGCCGTGCAGAGTGGCTCTTTCCCTCCCCGCCACAGGGTGGCGCTGTGACACCAACGTCCTTTCTTCTCCAACAGGCTTCCAGCTGGCTCCCCGGCAGGAAGCCTGAATTGGCCCCGAGACTTCCAGGTCTCTGTTTCGGATTACCAAGCACGAGCGGGCAGCCGGACACCAATCCAAGCATTCATCTGACAGACAATGGGAAAACAGGCCTCAGCTTTGTGCCCAGCTGGAATGCAAAAGCAAGGTCGGCACAGCGAGTTGAATACGGCCTGTGTGAAAGTCGTGGCGGAAGCAAAGGGCTCCTGTTGGCAAGCAGGGGGAGGTACGCCTTGCGATTCTTTAAGTCAGCTTCGGAGCGACCCGGGCTCCACATCTCATAGATGCACGCTCTGGCTGCTTCCCAGTCAAGTGCGTCCGTGCGTGCGTGTGTGTGAGAGAGAGACGAGGTGATCAGGAGTGGGCTGGTGGGGAATGTTTTTAAGGAGTCACTTTCTACAGTTTCTCAAACTTCAGCCTACATCACAATCGCCCAGAGGGCTTCTTAAAACGCAGAGGGCTGGCTTCCACCTCCAGAGGTCTGGGGTGGCCTGATAATTTGCATTTCAAACAAGTTCCCAGGTGGCGCGGAGACTGCTGACCCAGAGACTGCCCTTTGAGAACCACGACTCTAAACTCTTGAAAAGCTCTCAAGCAACAAATTATATAAGCCCAGTTCTAGAGAAAGACGTGACTCCAAAGGAAATTAGTCCAAATCGCCACCCCCCCACCCCCCCATTGCCTTCTTCATTGCCCTCACCCCTTCCCGCGATGAGGCCTCAGCTGTCTCAGTAACCTTTCAAAGTACCCTCAGGCCGTGGCAGGTACTTGCTAGTCGGAACATGGTCTGGAAGGCTAGCTGGGAGCCAGAGTTTCTTCGCAGGTGATAGGCCTCTTCCCTCCTTTGCCATAACTCATAATCCTTGCTGGCCCAAGAAGGGTGATTAAGACGCTCAAAGCAAACTTAGCCCCACTTTGAGCACAAAACCTGCAGAGACCATGCTCCTTGCCTGGTGCCACCAGTTCGAAGCAGAGTCACTCCCCCCTCAGAAATAGGTGGAAATGGCAGGGGCCTGGATTTGGTGGGAGTGTTGGATATCACAGAGAAAGTGCAGACAAATCATATGGGCCCCTCCAGTGGTTGATATGGGCTGACCAGAGTGCATGTCACGAGAAGGAGTCATAGGAAAAAAGCCTGGGTCCCTCCTCTGAGCTCCTCCAGCACCAGGGCTTCTGCAGACGTGGCACTGACCACTTACTGCCTGGTTACGAGTTGTGAGCTCTGCTATTTATTGGAAAAGGGTGTATAGAGCACGCGTGATGTACCAAGCTCAGCACCAAGGTTTGATGGGCTGGAAAGCCAAAGGTCCAACGTCATGGGCTTGTGCCCACTAGGAGGCCACATCCTGAAAACTGAGCAGGTTCCTATGGGGCCCTCCTGGACACAAAAGCCTTTCCATGTCCCGCATTTCTTGTTTGTAGGAAATAGGCTTCATTCAGCCTCCTGGACCTTCCCTGAGTTCCAAAGGGCAGATTCAAACAGTTGCTAATCAGGGAATGGGAGGGATGCAGAAGCAAAGAAGGAGCAGTCAAGAAACAATAGTGCAACCCTGGGGCAGGATCCTGGTTCCTCCTGAAGGGATACACATAACAATACCTTTGAGCTCTTCTGTAGGAACTAAGGCCTCCACTGAGGTGGAGGATGGCAACTTCAGGCTGAGCATTACCCTGTTACCTCACCACCAACCAATCAGAAGAAAGTCACACACCCTGCCAACCCTCATCCCAAATTTTGTCTATAAAAACTTCTCCCTGAAAACCATCAGGGAGTTCACGGTTTTTAGCATGAGCCACCCATTCTCCTTGCTTGGCCCTGCAGTAAACCTTTCTCTGCTCCAAATTTCAACGTTTCAGTTTGTTTGGCCTCACCGTGTGGTGGGCATACAAACCTGCATTCGGTAACAGTTTTGGTGAGCCAGCCCAGGAGTTCATGCCTGTGGCAAGTCGACCCTGGCCAGGAGCAGCCCTTTCCCCGAATCCCCAGCAGCTGCCGGAGCTCATTTTGCTCTGGGGAACTCAGAGAGACTCTCCGTGGCAGGCGCTGGCCACCTCAGCCCAAGTCTGTTTGGAGCCAAGGAACGTCCTAAGCTACAGTTCACTTTCGTTGTCGCTTGGGGGTGAGTAGCTCCAGTGTGCATGCAGGCTGGGAATTCTCTCCACTCCTTCTGGGCTCACTCCTGTGGGAAGTGAGCCACTCTGGGCTAGCCACTCTGGGTTCATTCTCTTTCAAGAGCTGGGCCAATCTGGAGGCCTCTGTCTGGGAGTGGAAGTGGAATTTTTAGACTACACCTCCTCTGATTTTCTGTGTGACCATACCTTATTTGTTGTTTGTGTTTTTGTGTGTATCATCCTGGCTTGCGCGGGATGGGAAAATTCTACTTGCTCCATCTAGGGCTCACTTCACTTTCAGGGAGTGAGCCACCCAGGGCTCATTGCAAGCCACTCTGGGCCCATTCTCTTTCAGGAGCCAGGACACTCTGGAAGCCTCCATCTCGGAGTCGAAGTGGAATTTGGGGGCTACACCTTGTGTTATCTTTTGTTTGTGGGACCATATTTGTTGTTTGTCTATGTGTGTATATCAGTACTTGTGCTGGCTGGTTGAGACATCTCTGGTCTCTGACAACGCGAGGGTATCCTTCCCTATTGCATTGGCTTTTTCTATGGCAGAGGACTGGTTGGGAATTTCCCTTTCTGGAGCCGGGGGATTGTGATCCTGAGAGACCTGCAATTCTGCGTTGCGTTGGTTTGCTGTTTGTCCATGAATAATTAAGTATGAGTGATCAGAGAAAAATTGTAAGATCTCTTGTGTCTAAATAGATATATGTATGTACCTTATAAATATGAGGTGTCTCTGGCCCCAAAATGGCATTGCCAAGATTGGTTCGTGGATGAGTTCTGTTTAATTGGCTTAAAAGAAATTAAGTGCTTATATAAATTCTCAGAAATAAAAAAGAAACTTGTCAGAATGAATTTTAGGTTCAAGTGATCTGGGAGATATTCAGTGCTGAATCAACATCTGGTATCGAAGCTAGCTTAAGCTTGTTGGTTTGACTAATATTGACATGTCTTTAGTGTCATAATGTTAAGTATAGTACTTCTGTTGTACCTAGGTTTACCAGAGGTCAAATAAGACCTTATTTTAGCTGTTGTGAATTTGTCAGCAAGGAAAGTAACTTGATAACTTGAAACTAAATTAAGTTGAATGGTGAGAATTCATCGACTATCTGGGTCATTTCAGATAGGATAAAATATTGGAACATTAATTGCTGGGTGGTAAGTTTACCTACCTTTGCCTTCTTAGGAGAGGAAGACTAAAGCATAAGTTTTCTAATCAGGAAATGCTGGTTTGACAGATAGCTCACAATTACTTGCTCCTTGGTTTTTTGCTGGAGATTAAGGTTCCTAAGGGTTAAAATTATATGTGATTAAATCTACTAAAACAAGAGAAACATTTCAATACGTTAGGAAAGTAAGATGTGTGTTTTCAGTAAAACAGAGTGTGAGGAATGGAACTGCATTTTGTTAAGGGAAAAGAAAGTAATTTTGTCCTAGACCTGGTTGTTTCTAGATGGTTAAAAAAAAAAAAAAAGCGGGGGAGGGGGACATATAATGTGGATACAGAAAGTGATGGGAAGTTTGTGGAAAAGGGACCTTAAGAAAAGAGTTTTGTACATGGTCAGGATTAGCCAAGATTGGATTAAATTTAATTAGGTAGATGAATTTTGTTATTAAAAGTAGGCTGGTGCGAGACTAGAGAGAGAACTTTGTTAAGAGAGCAAAGTTTTCTTGGAATGCTGCTTTCAATAACAGATTGTGTGAGGTTCTTTGCCTTTAAGTGATCTGTGTTTGCTTTTGAAATCTTTTGCCACTTTGGTTAAGTGAATTTAAGTACTGTTTCACAGTGACCTGTGATCTTATTTGACCAAGTGTTTTGAAACCTCTTTGATATTTTTGACAAACTTCCCAAATATCAAATTCTAACTGAATTTCTTTTGACCTGAACTAACTTTGAGATGCTTCAGAGGAACCTTGAGGCATCTGAGAGAGAGAGATTAAGTTAACTAGGATTATTTGGTATGTTAAATTACACGGAAAGCGTTGCCAAATGAATGATAAGCCTTCTCAGGTTATACTCTATGGATAAATGATATTAATACAGATTGTTCTAAAAATGATATGGAGTTTCTAAACACCTGGTATGTCCTGATAAAATGCTAACAGTCATAGTTCGTTTCTTTATCGATTACATTGTAAGCAGGTGTTTAACCATGTCTTTTAAAGTCTTTTGGTTGTTTATAGACAGCTATCGTTGTACTCTGATGCTTTTGTAAAAGTGCTTCACCGTCAGGAAGAGTCATAGGAGGGACTTTCTGACAAGTGCAGGTTTCTGATGAATTTCAGATAAACCTCACTCTGCTCCAAACACAGACGTTTTGGTTTGTTTGGACTCACTGTGCATCGGGCACACGAACTTGCATTCGGTAACATACTCATAATAGAACACACATAAGTAGAAGTGTATGTAAGTAGTTGTCCTCTTATCTCTTGCTGCTGACACCCCTCATGCAGCCACTGGGCTCTGAGCCTTGTTCAAGTTTCCCTTGAAGGGAATCAGAATATGCCACCCCAAAATATGCCACTTTGGCAAGGATTGTTTTTAACTGAAGACAATTAGCTGTCTGTCTAAAAGCAGGGCATAACTTTCCCTTTGTTAAGGTAACATAAATCTTCCAGAAATACCAGAAAAAGGAGAAGGACTCAATCACCAGAGAGGAGAAGATTCTTCAGCGGAGAAAGCACCAACTTGAACATAACAAACCTTACTAAATAACCCTATTATCCATGATAATCCATTAGTTTCCCCCATATATTTACCTTCCCACAACTTATGCCCCTAGAAGTCCAACCCCTATTCCTTCCTTTGTCTACTCACTTCTCCACAATTTATTACTCTTTGTTAAAATGGTATATAAGTCCTCAGTTCTAACCACTTCTTTGGGGTTTTCACTTTTTTTCTGTAAGGCCCTCATATGTATGCAAAATAATCTTTTCTCCTATTAATCTCTCTTTAATCAGTTTGATTCAAACGACCAATGTATTGAACCGAAGAGGGTAGAGGGAAGGGTTTTTTAACCTCCCCGGTACCCCCAAGACAGCCTTTCACAGAGTGTGCAGTGAGTCCCCCTGGTGGCCCATGAGGTGAGTCGGGAGTTCAGGGACTCATGT